GGCCACCCCAATGTCTGCCGGCCATCCTATTCGGTGTGTGTCATGCGCTTCATGGCTTTGTGTGAAGCTGTGCAGCCTCAGTCGTTGTAAAGCACAGGCCACAAGGCTAGCCCACCCACATCTTTCCTTTACAGGCATTTTGCTTCTGTTGTGGACCAAGTGCTTGGGACCAGGCACTGTACCGAGCCCTTTCCTCATGTGTATCCCGCTGCACCAGCACAGTAACCCCTGGGTGGGTACTATACCTGCTGCTATAGGTCCAGGGAAGATGGGGAGGAGGGCAGAGGCTGGGCCCACCTCCAGTGGCCTGGCTGGGCTGAGGTGCCCTCACGAAGTTTTCCAGCCTCCGCAGATACCTACCTAAACTGAGCCCTCAGACCCCGTCCTCCCAGCCCCAGCCTATCTGCTCAGATCCCTTCAGTCCTGTTTATGGTACCTCCCCTGTGCCTCGGCCTCACTCTCGGGAGTGTTTGCTGGACCATGGTGAGGCATTAAAGTCCAACGTGACAAGCAGGCGGCCCTCCCCACATCCTCTCCCTCAGCTGCTTCCCCAAGGCACCAGTCTTTTCTTGGTTCCCAACCATGCTCAGTTACCCCGCCTGCAATCAGTTTTTGACTAGGTAATATGCCCCAGCGAGGAGCTCTGGTAGTGTCGGACTGCTAATCTCACAGCCAGCAGTTCCAAACTAGCAGTGATTCTACAGGAGACAGATGCGCCTTTCTGCTCCCGTCAAGATTTTCAGCCTTGGAAACGCTATGCTGGGTCGCTATGAATTGGAACTGCCCCCACAGCACACCACCACCACTACTATGACCCAGCATTGGCTTAGTAATGTTACATAATACAGGCTGTGACCTTTTTTACAGATGAGGAAATTCAAAACCCTCCAGTGTGGTGTTCTGCACACAATTAGCTATAAATTGCAAGCCAGGTGTGTCTGGAGTCCAGGTGACTGTTAGCACTCAGTCATCTGGTCATTCAGTAATTACCTACTGGGGGCCTGATGTGTCAACCCAGCTGGTCATGGTCCCTGCCTTCCTGGCACTGGTAATGCGGGTGCGAGACAGAGTAAAGAATCTTGTTCATTGTTGTCAGGTGCTGTGGAGTCGGTTCCAACTCATAGCAACCCTACATAGGGTTCCCAAGGCTGTAAATCTTTTAAAATGTTATTTAAGAAAGTCTTACGTTTCAAAATGCATAGTTGATTGGACCTTTTCATGTATTATCAGCAGCAGGAGCAGCTGTACCCTTGGTGTTTCTGGTGTAAATTGCTTGAGCTCTGTTTGGGAACCAGCTTGCTAAGACCTTTACTAAGTAAAGGACTAAAGGGCTGCCCTGCCCAGGGAATCGACTCTTCAGTCTCTCACTCCTGTTACAAGCTTATCACTAGGAACTTCCTTACAGAGCTTGGCACATGGCTTTGTCAAACACAAGACCAGGTTATGGCGCTTCTCCCGAACTTTCTCTTTGGACCGCTTCTTCTTTTGGGCCTTGTTTCCAGATTGATTCAGTGGGTCTTTTATCTTCCTTAGCCGACTTTCTGGCATCTTTCTTCTCCTTGTTGTCCTGGGGCGGCGACATTACAAACCTTGGGGAGCATCTATGCAACTGCAGCCTTGCTAGGATGTCGAACAAAAGCAAGGCTTTTTGTAAATCTTCCCTAGAACAGAAAGCCTCATTTTTCTCCCACAGAGCAGCTAGTGGGCTCAAACCTCCAACCTTGAGGTTAGCAGTCCAGTGTTTATACTACAGCAGCACCTACAGAATCTTCTAGGGTATGTGACTGAGTGCTTTGGAGAGGGAATGTGGTGCTGCAAGAGATCCACTGCCTCCTCAGGATGGGGACTGGGGAGCGTGGGCTGATGGGGTGATGACATAGGCCTGACTCTGATCTGCTGTTGAGAGTGTCATTTCCCGTGTTTCCTCACAAACGCACCTTAATGTAGCCATGTGCACAATCCCCCATTGGAGCCTTGGCTCCATTGTACGCTGCAGTTAGGGAAGGGAGAAGCCAGGGGGCCACACTGGACACACACACACACACACACACACACACGGGAGTCCCAGCTCAGAGCACATCTTGCTGTTCTAGTTTAGCGTCTCTTGGCAATGAAGCCACAGTTACTGACCTAGGAGAATCCAGCTCACACAAAGATGAAGCTGGGTGACAATGGGCCAGCATGACAGTAGGTTAGAAGACTGGGTCTTGGGGTCCAAGTCTCAGCCTCCCCAGGTCTAAAGCCCAGTCCTGTTGATGTTTGGTTTCAGCTCTGTGGCTTGCTGCCTGGGTTTCTTCATCTGTTCAAGGGCTATAATGACTAATCCTTGTGTCACAGAGCTGCTCTTGAGGATTTAGAAAGCTCTGCCTGACCCACAGGAAATGCTTGATACATACATGGCAACTCTCGCAATACTGAGACCAGTTCAGGCTCCCCAGGCTCAAAGCTAAGATGGCTGATGAGCCCACAGCCTGCTGAGCACGGGGGGCTTCTCATGGGCTTGCCCAGCCTCGCCTTGTTCTAGTTCATGGTCCTCCTGGGGACTGTTTCCACCTCTCTGGAGACCGTCCTGTTTCTAATGGTGTCACTAGAGTGTCTCAGTGAGCCTGATGCAGATTGTCCTGGGTGATGCCAAAATGGCTGCTACTTCAGTGTTTTCAGCAGAAAGGGAGCTCTGGTAGCGTAGTGGTTACGAATCGGGCTGCGAACCATAAGGTCAGCAGTTCGAAACTACCAGCTGCTCCGCGGGAGAAAGATGAGGCTTTCTACTCCCATAAAGATTTACACCCTCGGAAACCCTGTACAGGGTCGCTATGGGTCGGAACCGACTCAAAGGCACTTAACAACAACAACAACAATATATATATATATATATAAAATAGCTTTGTAGTTAGTTATTACATATATATTTCATAAGCCCAGCTGACGTGTACTTACACTACAGGGCTAAAACTCTCTCCTGATTTACTTCTTGAGACTTTAATGTGCTAAGGTCAGAGCTGTCATGCTTACCTGATTACAGTGGTACTACAAACCACAGGGCTTCATCTGCACGCACTAAAGAATGTCCTGGTGTTTTCATTGCTGCTGGTGTTTTAATAGTTGTTGTTGTGTGCTGTGGAGTCGGTTCCGACTCATAGCGACCCTGTACAGGGTTTCCGAGGCTCTAAATCTTTACGGGGGCAGAAAGCCTCCTGTTTCTCCTGTGGAACAGCTGGTAGTTTCGAACTGCTGACCTTAAGGTTTGTAGCCCGATTTGTAACCGCTACACTACCAGAGCTCCTTTTTTATAGTTGTTAATTCTGTCTAATTTCATGGTGTTTTCACTGTAATATTATTGGCAATTAGTATTTGGGAACCTATATCAATAACATCTTTGAGACTAAAGAAGGAGAAAACAAAATTAAAAATCTCCCTGTAACTAACAGCAATACTCAATGTAATTCAGGTTACAAAGATTTTAGAAAGCAATTTTGTTGTTAGCATTCATATAATCTAAGAAATATCAAAGTTAAACAATATACAACTATATTTATAACATGTTGTCCTATGATTGAGCCTCGGTGTGGCGCTATAGGATAAGGATTGGACTGCTAACTGCAAGGATGGTGGTTCAAACCCACCAGGCACTCCTTGGAAACCCTATACAACTCAGAACCGACTTGATGTCACTTAACAACAATTATACGATTAAGGAGCCGTGGTGGTACTATAGGATAAGCATTGGACTGCTAACCCAAAAGTCAGCAGTTCAAACCCTCTAGCTGCTCCCCAGGAGAAGGATGAGGTTTTCTGCTCCTGAAAAGATCTACAGCTCCAGAAACCCTGTCCACGGTTGCTGCGAGTGGCAGTGTGGTCTATTCTAGGGTTAAAATAATAAACATTACGAAGGGTTCTGTGTGATTGGTGTGGGAGGAGGCCGAGTTGTCACTGCCCGTTTCTACAAGGACGGTGCGTACCATGCTGCCTGAGTTTTGCTTGCTCCGCTCTGGCTGCCTCCAGTGCTCTTTCCTTCAGCTCTCAGCGGGGGCAGCAGCACTTCTCAGAGAAGCCTTACCCACCTCACACCGGCCGCAGCCCCACTGGTTTTCCTAAGCCAACACAAACCCCGGTCGGTAGTCACCGTCCTGGTTCCGTGTCTGCCCTCTCTGCTAGGCAGCCTGTCATGGAGCCTCAGAACCTGGTACAGGTTTTGGAGCAAAGCAGGTGCTCAAATATTTGTTGAATGAGTCAGTGTGGCCAGTGGGAGGCCTGGAGCAGCGAGCGCCCACCGGCCAGGTGATCCTAATTAAGCCTGGAGTGCAGCGCTGTGGTGGTGAACACACTCAGCCAAGATTCTGAGTGTTTACCGTATAACTTACAGGCACTATGGGAAACATTTTATATGCATGAGCTCCTTTAATTAAGCCTTTCAGCGTTTTGGGGAGGTGTTCTCCATTTTAGAGATAAGACTCAAAGAGGGCAAGTCATTTCCCCAAGGCCACCCAGCAAGGGATTTGCACCGAGGTAGTCTGACTCTTATGGGTCCATAGCCTTCTGTTCTATGCAGGTGGTCTCCTTACTTAGTAAAGAGCCCATCAAGATGGTGGATGGGCAGACAGCATGTGGAGTATGCCGATGGTTGTGGTGGGAGATTGAGGGGAGGGGGAGCCTTTGGCCAAACTGGGGAGGCCTTGACTGCCAGTGGGAAGAATTGGGAGCCATGGTAATGATGATAGGTACCAGTTCTTGAGCGCTTCTTCCCTGCCACTTTGTTGAGTCTGTTCATCTTTACACAAACCCTGTGGGATAGATATCATTTAGTTCCAGTATTATAGATGACAAATCAGAGACACAAACAAGTTCCAGTAACTTGCCCAAGGTCACACAATAAGAAAGTGGCAGAGCTGGATTTCAGGTCCTGCCGGTCTAGCCCCGGAGTCCCCTGGGGCCATAATGACCTAACCACCGGGGTGTTGAGCCTGGTGGAACTTAGAGCTGTTCTTCCTCTCTCCGCCTAGCACTCATCCTTGGATGACAAGCCCCGCTTCCCAGGGGCCTCTGCGGAGTTTGTTGACAAGTTAGAATTCATCCAACCCAATGTCATCTCTGGGATCCCCATCTACCGTGTTATGGACCGACAGGGCCAGATCATCAACCCAAGTGAGGACCCTGAGGTGAGAGGCGAGCTCCAGAGTGGCTGCTCCATCCAGAGTCACTGGTCTAGCTCCTCTCTGGGCCCACCTGCCCCTTCTCTGTCTCTGTCTCCATCTGCAGCTATCCCAGACGGAGGTGCTGAAGTTCTACAAGAGCATGACGTTGCTCAACACCATGGACCGCATCCTCTACGAGTCCCAGCGGCAGGTGTGTGGGGACAGGGGGCTAGGAATTACCTGAGGTCCCTTTATCAGTGTTTGGTCCAGAGGACAATTCCTAAAGAGGGGAGAATAGAATGGCAGCCTCTTTTCTTGGGGTTCTCTTGGGGCTCCAGAAGAAAAGTGTGGGAGGGGTCCTGCCCCAGGGCAGAGGATGGACCAGATCACTGACTACACTTATAGTAAGTCTGTCTGGGGCTTAGCTGTGCTGGGAGAGGGTGGGTCGGCAGGGGGAGACATGGCGTCCCTTCTTCTTGGGCGCTCACATCTGGTTGAGAAACAAGGTGGACCTGGTGCGTCTCAAGGAATATCCGGGGCCTCAAGCAAATGTGCTGTGGCCCTGCACTGTCCCCGGGGCCAAAGATCCATTCAGACCAGTGTCTTCAGCAAAGAGGGATTTACTGATGGCCATCACTGAACGCCCAGGGGCTCAGAAGATGTCATCAGACCTGACCTCTCTCCCAGTCTCCTTTCTCCTCTTCTGGGTCCCAGTTCTGTCCCCCAGCAGTGCGCTCCATGGGGAGGGGAGAGGGCCACTCAGAGGCTCCAGACTCACAGAGTGACAGGACAGGCTCTGGAGCAGCAGGACTGTAAGATCAAAGTCCCAACTCTGCCGCTGTCATCTCGTGGGAAAGTGGCTCAATTGCCTCATGCTTCCATTTTCTTCTCCGTAGGATAAGAGCCGTAACCCCGGATAGAACCTACCTCCTGGGGCTGCCATTTTATAATGATGCCACATGAATGGCCTCAAGACTAGTGAAACTGGCAGTGATTAGCTGCTGTTCTTATTATGATCCCATCACCCAGCAATCATCTGTTCTTATTAACAGTAGAACCCTCCCTAGCAAAAGGCCTAAGGCTGATGCTCATTGGCTTGGTCGTAGATCCCTCCCAGAGCCATGATTGATTAGCCAAGCCCAGGTCATGTGCCCATCCCAGGAACCCAGGGAGTAGAAGAGTAGAGTTCATTCTTCCCCATTCTTGTAGACTGAGGGTGGGGGCTGGGTGGTTCCTGTTAGAAGTTCCTATTAGAAAAGGGCTGGCAGGACCACTGGGGTTCACCATACCTTCTGGATCACAATTGGGGGTGAGCATTGAGTTTTTATTAAGCCCTGGGGATAGGGCCACTTGGCTAGGGGACAGTACTGATTCCCAGACTCCTGCTCACAGGAACACCACATGTGGGTGCCTGAAGTCAGGGCAGTGTCTCTACTGTCCACAGGCTCAAGTCTGACCTCAGAGCTGTCCACCCTGCCCCTATCCCCCTACCCAGCCTCAGTGGCGGTCAGGGCAGGAAGCTCCTGTCACCCTTGCTCATACTTGCACCAGACTCCTGCCTGCCCTGTGCCTTGGCTACACAAACCCTGGTTCCCAGGGGCCTCAGCAGAAATTGTAGACTCATTAGAGTTGGTTTATAAGGACTTTGGAATTTGATGGACTTGTATTCCAATCACAGCTCTCACGTTGGGCAAATTATTCTACCTGATGCTGCCTCAAGTTCCTTGTGTATATGATGGGGACAAAGATAGAATCCACCCTGTGGGACCGTCAGACCCAGCCCCTGAAATCCCCTAGTCCCTTCAATAAGATCAACTTCAAGACTGTATGAGGGAGCCTCAAACAGTTCGGTGGAAAACTTCCATTGTCTTGTTAATTTCATTTTTCCAGGAACCTTTTGAAGGTCCCTTATATTGATTAGGAATTGCCCTTCTTCTCTACCAAAAAAACAAAACCTAACAAATATAAGCAAAAATAAAGTAGTGGCTTAAACAGATTAATAGGTTTGTTTGTTTTTTTCCTCTCGTATAAGAGAAATTTGGAAACCTGGAAACAGGCAGTCCAGGGCTGGTACATTGTCCACAATGCCATCGGGTACCCAGCCGCCTTTTCATCTTTCCGATCTGCCATCCGTAGCTCTGGCTTCTATCATAAGGTCCAAGATGGCTGCTGGTGCTTCTCCATGACGTTTCCTTCCAGGCAGGAAGTTAAAGGGAGCAGGTAGGTCAGTCAGGGCATATCCCAGCTGCCTTTATCTTCCTCTCCCATTAATAGGCTTTCCAGTTAGTCCCACCCAGCAACGACTGCTCCAAGGGAAGCTGGGAAATGTAGTCTTTTTGTCTGGGCACTTGGTACCTGGGGTGGAGTGAGAGCTTTAGTAACAGAGGAAAGGTGGGAGACTGGCAAGGCAACAGTAGCCTTGTTTCCTCAGGATCCTCCCAATGCCTACACCACAGCCCTGCCAGCCCTCAGCACCTAGCATCTGCCCACCCAGTTGGCACTAGAAGGTCAATTTACGTTTTAATTGGCTTCCCGCCCACTTAGAAGGAAGCATGCATTCATCTCTTCCCCCAGCAGCAATTAGAAAACCAGACCTGGAGAACACACTGAGGAGGGACATGGCCAGGACTGAAGGAGGCCTGGACCTGGTGTCCTGGGGGAGGGTGCTGTCCTGGTGCTCACACAGACCCCTGAGTGGTCTCATTTCCAGCTGTAAGTCCCCCAGCTGGACTTCTTCCCTGAGACCCTGATCTCCTGGGCTCCTCGTCCTGGAATCCTGCAACAAACTCAGCCTGTCCAGACGTGACCTCCACGCCTTCCTCCCTGAGCTGCTCCTCTTCCACCCATCCTCCACTTCTCAGACAAGACCATGCCACCCAGCCATTTGACCAAGCTGGACATCCCCGTCTCCTCCCTGCCTGCCCTTGCCCCTGCCTGCCTCTCAATCACTCTGTCCCTAGGTGTTTGGTTAGAAATCCGTCAGCTGCTCAGCAGCCCTATCAGGAACCCAGACTCTTCTTTCTGCTTTGCTGCTGTTGGCGAGTTGGCTCTCATCCTGAGCCTGTTACCTCACGTTCACAAGATGGTTGCTGTAGTTCCATGTTTCATGGCCATCATGCAGGGCTGGAGGAAGTGGGACAAGGGAATGGTACCAACCATAGCTGTCCCATTTAACAAGAAGCAAAAGCTTTCTCAGATGTTCCTAGCAGATGTCCACTTAAGTCCCATGGCCACTTCTGGTTGCAAGAGAGGCTGGGAAACAGCCTTTGGCTTTTCCAGGCTCTGGCGAAGGGGCTTGGGAGAAGGTCATTGACTTGGGAACTGGGGTCACTAACCAGCAGGGTCTGCTGCCTTCATCCTCACCATCCACAGGATCAAGTCTGACCTCATGACTTGGTGCCCTTCCTGTCCACCCTGTCCCCATCCACTGTGGCCTTGGTGAGTGGCCACCACATTGGCCATCAGAGCCTCTCGACTGAATCACTGTTTCCTCCATCCATGGCAGGCTGAGAAGAGAGTTCTAGAACACACAGCTAACCATGGGGCTCCCTGAGCAGAACTACCAGCAGGCCCCCATCGTTGTCAGGATAAAATCCAGGGGTAGTGCTCCCTGCGTAATCTCAGTGTCCCCCCTGTCCTGCCTGTTCTTTCTCCGCCCTGGCCACTTTCCAGCCCAGGCCTCAGGCACATTGTTCCCTTTGCCTGGAAACCTCCACCTGGCCCCCACTTTGATCAGTTTAGGCCATGCCCCCGATGCTCCACCTGTGAACTCTACCACACAACCTGCTTACTCTGGCCTCACATAGCACCTTGCATCTGCATGGCAGCTCCTCCATTCAGACAAGGTTCCCAGTGTGGCCTGGCCAGAGTCACCATCAGGAAGTCTCTCCTAATGGATGGAGTCACCCAGATTTGGAAGGATATTCATGGGGGTCTGTCCTCTCCATCCCAGGGCCGAATCTCCTTCTACATGACCAACTACGGTGAGGAGGGGACGCATGTGGGCAGTGCAGCCGCCCTGGACAACACGGACCTGGTGTTTGGCCAATACCGGGAGGCAGGTACATCACCCTGGTCCCCCCATCGAGCAGGTGCCACTGAAGCCTGGGTCTGTGGTACCCACAGAGGTGGATCAGGCTCAGTCCCCCCTGGGGCTCACACTAGTTACCCCAAGTGTGCTTCTGGGAGTAGCAGAGACGGGAGGGTGTGAAGAGCTGGAGGAAGAACTTTCCTGACAAGGAAGACAAGGCAGGAGAGGATGGCCTTTTCCTCTCAGGAGACTGGAGAGTACAGCCTGACCCAAGTCTAGTGTGGCTTCACTTGTGACAAATGTCTGCCCTAAGCATTGTGCTCTAGGGTGTCTGTGGGGCCACACTGACAAGGATTAGATAGGAACCCTAGGGGCGGAGAGTGTCTGTTCAGAAGGCGGGCTAACTTGTAAACGAAAGGTGAGAGTGTTGCAGAAATTGAAGATTATCATCTGTGTCACTGGAGTGTATGTGCAGAAATGGTTGATTTGGTGTATGTTCCGCTGTGTATATTAACACAACAACAACAGATAACTGACAGAAAAGCAGAGCGCACAGAAGTCTGCTTACCTGTGTCCCACCTGTACTTTGATAGCTGCCACCCGTCAGCTTTCGGGCTGTTTCCCGTCTCTGAGACTCAGTGTTGGCATCTCCTCCGTGGGCTGATGATGGGATGGGCATTGTGGGTTTGTTGGGAGGACTTATGAGAACTTGAGACCCCTGTCCACAAGGTACTGGCTCTCCTGACCTTCCCTCCAGGGTGCAGAAGCAGGTGGGAGGGCCCCACAGACCCTTGTGCAAGAAGATCAGGGGGCCTGGTGAGCCCCCAGGTAGGGAGCAGGTGAAATGAAATGAAATGAGGGCTCCAAAGGTAGGAATGAAGAAGTTAGATGAGAACCCAGAGCAATGGTGTTGGTGGTGTGGGAGTTGTGAGGTGGGATCCAGCAGGAGCTTGTGCAACAGAGCCAGCCTGTGGGCATCAGGAACAGCGATTGTGTTGTGCCAAGGAGGCTGCGCCCAGCCCTGCCCCCGCCTTGGCCAAATTGCTGCTGCACAGCCTTGGCCAAATTGCCTAACTGCTCCAGGCCTCAGTTTCCTCATCTCTAATTGATTTGGTGTATGTTCTGCTGTGTGTATTAATGACAACAACAACAAATCAATGATAGGACTGTTATGGCGCTCTAGGATAAGCACTGGACTGCAAACGGCAGTTCAAACTCCACTAGCCACTCCTTGGAAACCCTATACAGGGTCGCTATGAGTTGGAACCGACTCGACACATAACTTAACAATAGGGGATAATCACTTCTCCCAAGAAGCTGTTGTGGGAGATTCATGGGACAGCCACAGCCCCCTTGGAGGCTGAGGTGAGGTTGGGGCCTCTCCCCTGGGGACAGGCCTTCAGCAGGGAGTATCCACTAGAGGAGGGGCTGGTCAGATCCCTCCCCAGGAAAGCTCTTAGACCACCCAGGAAGACCAGGACCCCGCTCCTCATCCTCTGGGAGGGCACATGCCCTGTGATCTGGCCTGAGGTGCAGCGTTGTTGGCAGATTGCTTCACACCATGCAGCCTGCCCAGCCTTCCCCCCCCCCCCCCCCCCATTTCTGCTGAAGACTCTCTGGTGAGGGCTCCCAGCAGGCCTGCATGAGGCTGGAGACTCCCCACATGAGGGCCCTCCACCTCAGGGGTCAGTCTGAGAAGCCCACAGGGCCCCAGTTCCTGCATCTGCGAGGTGGGGAGAGGCGTAACAGCAGTTCCCGAGTTTTTCATGGAGACCAAGGTGCTGCTGTCTGTCAGTACATTACTGGCTTGGCGGCTCTTCTCCTGCTGCAGGGCAGAGGTCAGTGTACAGGTCACTTAGGAGTCGGGGCAGGCCCTGGTTTGTACCTCCCCAGTCAGGTGAGGCAGGCATTCCTGAGACCAGAGGTGTGCTCGCGTGCCCGGGGCCCCATGCCTCCTGCTCGGCCAAGTGAAGCAGGAGTCTTCTAGGTGGATAGCCCTCACTCGTCACCCACTGGGCAACCCTCCAGGATGCTGCTCTCACAGGACTGCTGGGAAGAGAAACCAAGGGATGTAGGTGGGGTGCTGGCTGCCACTCCCGACAGACAGGTGGTGACCCTTAGTACAAAGTGTGCAGTGGCTCCCGGCAGGTGTCCCAACGGTAGCAGGAGCTACGCTAGATATGCAACTTCAGAGCACAGGTTGGAAACGCCTGGGCACACCTTCAACCTGCCCTCCCACCTTGCGACTCTCTTGTAGGTAAACCTGGACCCCTTTGTGAGGGAGCCGGACCCCAGGGTTGTGTGGCAGCACCTTGGACAGTTACCACAGTTGTCCTCAGGGCCCCCTTTTCCTTCTTCCACCAGAACACCCCCTTTCCTCTGTTTTATATACATGAAGCCACATTGTGCATGATGTATAGTGCGTGATCAAAAACTGAGTGAAATGAAGATGACTGTTGATGTGTGAACCATACCACAGCCCCATGCAGAGTTGAGGCAGCCCATCATTGCCAAGCTGTCTGCACATTACCAAGTGTTCCTCTTGCTGATGTCTCACGGTGACACCGCTTTAACTGAAAAACAGTCTCTCCACTTCCTTTTCTGAGGATCAGCCTTGATCCTCAATGTGTGTGAGTTCTGCATCATGCCCTCCTCCCCCCTAGTCCCACCACTTAGTAGATTAGGATCTGGGGCAAGTTACGGAAGCCCTTACTCCCCTTCCCCACCACAGGCCTCATCTGTGAGGAGAGATAATACCACTGAACTCACAGGGTAGAAGGGAAATTCAGTGCATTAATACCTGAATAGTGCCCAGAATCGTGCTTGGTGGGCATGTAGCATTCCATTCATTCTTGCTGTTATGAGTCAGGGGAGATGTGAATCCCCTGTGTAAAGTGTGACCACCCTATAATGTGCTCCACATTAGATTTCCATCTGAAGAAATGGTTCTATTATTTAAAAAAAAAAAGTGGTTTTGGGAACCTCCAGACAGATAGCTTCTCTGGTGTAGGTTTTGTGTTCCCAGAACAGGAAGCGGAAGCTGCAGGGGCCCCTGATGGGTTGGTCTGACAGCCTTGCATTGCCCTGTCTGCCCCCAGGTGTGCTCATGTATCGGGATTACCCGCTGGAACTGTTCATGGACCAGTGCTACGGCAATATGAATGACCCTGGCAAGGGCCGCCAGATGCCCGTTCACTACGGCTGCAGGGATCGCCACTTTGTCACCATCTCCTCGCCGCTGGCCACACAGATCCCTCAGGGTGAGAACACACATCCTAGGCTGTATACACTCAGACCCGCACATGGACTTCATACCCCAGTTGGGGTCCCAGCCCTTCTCCCCTCCTCCTGGCTGGCCTCTAGGATCCCGTTCTTGATATCCCAGAATCTTACCCATTGCCTTGGTCTGCTCACACCCATAGCCAGCTGGTTTACTGAGGGTGCGCTCCTTCCATTGTCTAGTAAGAAGGTCACAGTGACCAGAGGAGGTGAATCTGTGCTTTACCATTGTTCCATTTGTAAAGATCAGGAAGCCAAAATCAAAGAGGGAAGAAGGTCACTTGCCTGAGGTCACAAGACAGCGAGGAGAGTAGGCACTCAAATCACAGACAGTGTGACTCCACAGCCCAGGGTCCCCCAGTCCTCGCCTGCCTCAGTACTCCAAGTCAGACGCACACCCCTAGAGCGTCCGCGTGGGTCCTTGATGCATAGTCGGTGTGGCGGCTTATATTAAAGTCTACCTGCCATGCCAGACTTCCACCCTCACACTGGGAGGCCAAGAATAGACCCCTCCCCCTCCCTGCCCTCAGGGGCCTGTAGGCTGGTGGGGGCGTCACCTGTATGTCTCCATGGGCCTGGCCGTGGCACCTGGGGAGCACCCCAGGCATGTCCACTTGTCTTTTCTCCTGTGAGAGTGGGGAGTGGGAGTGGTACTTGTCAGGTGGGATAGACCTGGAAGCTGTTTGGAAGGAGCTGAGGGAGACTGGGGTTCTGTTACCCCCCCCTCATGAAGGCACTCCAGATATTTGGAATCCCTGCTCTGTGCTGGGTGACACACACTCCAAGGTTTCAACCCTGGTGGGACCAGAGACAGCAAGATGAACCAGCAAAGCATGGAATGGGTCAGGGGTGACTGAGTCCTGCACAGAACTGTAGCATGGAGGAGGAAGTGGAGTGGGGGCGGGGGTGGGAAGCCTCCCTGACAAGGTGACATCTAAGGAAAGACCAGAGGAAGTGAGGCGGGAGCTCCATGGGTGTGTGTAGTGGGGACTCATAGGCAGGAACATGCCTGGTATGTTGGCTAGGGTCAGGTGTGGGGGCACTGGGAAGGGTGGGGAGATGAAGTCAGGAAGTGGGAAAGTGCCAGCTGTACAGATCCAGGGCCTCTTCACCCTTGACCTGTGGAGGAACTTTGACTCTGAGTGGAGTGACCTGTGAAAAGTCCTTCCTCTGGGGGTCTGGAGCCAGGACAAGTAAGGAAACAACCCAGTAACCTGGACTCCAGGTGATGGTGGAGGTGAGGAGAAGGGTCAGGCTCCAACTTTGATTTGAACTCAGAGCCTAGCCAATGTGGGAATAAAAGAAAGTCCCAGGTCAAGAAGATTAGCGTCTTGCTTGAGCTGTTGGAAGGAAGGCACAGCCATTAGCCGGCGGGTCCCGAGTGCCTGGCCACAGCCACCCTGTGTGTGTGTGAGAGAGAGAGTGTATGCATGTGTGTGTGTACTGGGAGAGTGTGTGTGTGTGAAGACGCTGTGTATCCCTGAGAGTGCACGTGTGTGTGTACGGAAGAGAGAGTGTGTGTATATGTATATATATTGTGTGACAGAAATGTGTTGGTGCATGTGCACACGTGTACGCAAGAGAGAATGTGTGTAAATATATATATATACATATATACATATTTTGTGTGTACTGTGAGTGTAGTGTGTGTGAAGTGTGTTAGTGTAAGAGTACGTATGTGTTTGTGTAAGAGATGGTGTATATGTATAGTGTGTGTGTGTGTGGGGCCTTCTGCTTACCTCCCTCCATTCCCCTGCAGCGGTCGGAGCAGCGTATGCAGCCAAGCGGGCCAATGACAACAGGGTTGTCATCTGTTACTTTGGCGAGGGGGCAGCCAGTGAGGGAGATGCCCACGCCGGCTTCAACTTTGCTGCCACCCTCGAGTGTCCCATCATCTTCTTTTGCCGGAATAATGGCTACGCCATCTCCACGCCCACCTCGGAGCAGTATCGTGGGGATGGCATCGGTATGGGCCTACTGGTCGCTCCCCACCCCCTACAGCTCCTTCCTTTCTCCCTCATCCTCCTTTCTCCCCCATGCCTTCCCTCCTGTCTGGCCAGGTGCACATCCCCCTGACCTGCCTCCTCTGTCCCCACAGCGGCTCGAGGCCCTGGATACGGCATCATGTCGATCCGTGTGGACGGCAATGATGTGTTCGCTGTGTACAACGCCACAAAGGAGGCCCGGCGGCGGGCGGTGGCCGAGAACCAGCCCTTCCTCATTGAGGCCATGACTTACAGGTGCTGCCCCTCCCTGCCCACAGCCCTGACGGCCCCTCCTGACTTGGATCATGCTCCTTAAAGCAGGACCCCACCCTACCGTTAGGGCCCCTTCCCTGCCTTTTTTTATTCCACCAAAAGTCTAGTCCCCTCCCTGCTGACCCTGTGTTTCCCTCCCCTCACAGGATTGGACACCACAGCACCAGTGACGACAGCTCGGCCTACCGCTCAGTGGACGAGGTCAACTACTGGGACAAGCAGGACCATCCCATCTCACGGCTTCGACACTACCTGCTGAGTCGCGGCTGGTGGGATGATGAGCAGGAGAAGGCCTGGAGGAAGCAGTCCCGCAAGAAGGTGAGAGACTGACCCACCCGGTGACCAAGGCCCTCCCATGGCTGTGCTCTGGGCTGTGTGCCAGCGTGTCATGGGGCTCTGGGTGCTAGGGCTGGGGACATGTCAGGACTGTCTGTAAGCCAGACCCATGAGCCAGGCTGCCTGTGCTGGTCCCTGCTTCAGAAGGTGTGTGTGGGTCAGCGGCTGACTGAATTCCCAGACCATTCCCTCCTCTTCTCTGGGCCTCAGCTTGGAGCCACCAGCTTCTTAGGGCTGCAGAACCTGGAGTGCCTGACCCCTCACCACCATTAACATGGTCATCCCCACTGTCCCCATGGGAATACATAGACTCAGGGGCTGACCCTCACTGAGATTACCCTGGTAGGAGGCAGGGCCCCCTTCTCCAGAACCACCATCTGGTGTCCCCCCAGGTGATGGAGGCCTTTGAGCAGGCTGAGCGGAAGCTGAAGCCCAACCCCAACCTGCTCTTCTCGGACGTGTATCAGGAGATGACCGCCCAGCTCCGCAAACAGCAGGAATCCCTGGCCCGCCACCTCCAGACCTACGGGGAACACTACCCCCTAGACCACTTCGAGAAGTGAGGCCTGGCCAACCCCTGACCCCAGCCACCCTGTAGAGAGGTGACCTCACTCTACAGAGGAAGAAGAGCCAGCAGCATACCACTGTACCTTCCCCAAACCAGCTCCCTCCGGTTACCGGAGGAGGGGTGGGGTCAGTGCCTGAGGTGCACTGCTCCAGCCCTCTGCTCCAGGCTGTTAGGTTTAGAAACAGTCACTGACTGCTTGTTCTGTGGTCTCCCAGGGGGCACGGCCACTTCTGGGGCTGGAGTCCTAGGGCTGGTGGGCGTGGCCTGATGACCTGTGGAGCTCACTCCCAGAGTGGGCAGCAGAGTAGGTGAATAAATGCTTTCTCTGCCTTTGGCTCTGCCGCCTCTGGTCTGGGGTGACTGGGTTTGTGGTCACACCATTTCTCTCCACTTGAGATAAATAAGGTCAGGCTGTTGGGATAGCTGCTTCTCCTGGCGATGTTCATTCATAAGCTGGAAAAACAGCCTTGCAGGAGGGCTAGGGGGTGGGGTCGTCAGAGGTCCATCTCCTGAGCTCACACACAAGGGAGAGGGGCAGGCCCAGTGTCCAGCTAGGGAGCCAGGGGACCTGTGGGAGCTGGCCCTGCCCAGCCAGGCCAAAGGGCTGTCTAGTGTGAGCTCTGCTCTGTCTATACTCCAGGGCCCGCAGATAAACACACAACCAACTCCAGGCCTCAGAGTGGGGAATGAACGTCTTTAAAAAAAATCCAAGTAGATAAAACAGTCCACCTGTCTCATCCTGCAACAACCCCCTCAACCCCCAGTCCTAGGGCCATGGTACCAGGAGGGGCTCAGGTTGCTGGGGTCCATCAGGGCCCAGGCTCAGCACCGGAGCTGTGGATTCTGCAGGTGTTTCCAGAGCCGAATGCTGTCCTGGGGACTGAGGGGCCGCACCAGCAGCAGGTCCCGGAGAGCGCAGGCCTGCAAGGGCCGGTCTGCTGGCCAGGCTGTACGGAAGCCTGGGTGGGCCCGAGGCACCAGACCCAGGGCCCGGAAGCATAGGCCTGTGTAGACATCGTCGAAGGGGAAAGGTGCCACTCGAGCCGCTGCCTGTAGCAGCCAGGGTGCCAGGCGTCCGGCAATGACGTAGCCACCCGTGCTGGCGTAGGCTGGGTAACTGCCTTCAAAGAAGGACCCGGGCACATAGAAGGGTCCTCCGGGCTTCCTCAGGGGTTTGGCATGGGTGAAGACCTCACCCAGGTAGAGGCCTCGGGCCCAGGTAGGAGGCAGGCCACGCAGGTGTTCCAGCAAGGCAAGTGTGTGCACAAAGGCATCATCCTGAACGTGCAGGACAAAGGTCACGTCAGGGCAGTGGTGGCCCAGCCAGTCCAGCAGCAGCAGGTCCTTGAGTGTCTGGTTGAAGGGGACATCAAAGAAGTCCCAGAGCAGAAGGTCATTGTAGCGGTGGCTCTCCCAGGCCACCAGCGAGCCCAGGTGGGGCCCCCCACGACCCACCGGAGATCCCAGCAGGAAGAGCAGCCGGGTATCAGGAGCCGCATGGCCCCAGGTCTCTCTCACGGCCTGTCGTTGTGCAAAGCGCCCTGGTTCCGACTTGACAGCCAACAGCAGGTAGGGGACACCCGTTGCTGAGCAGCTAGCCACCTGGCCACCACCTCCCGCAGGCAGCCACGGTGGGAAGCTCCGACAGGCAGCTGACAGCAGGAAGCTGCGGAGGTCTTCGGGGTAGGAGGTGAAGTCCGGGATCTCACTGGAGGCAGCAGTCCCCCAAGCCCGGCAGCCCCCTGCCTCCACGCTGTCCCCACTGGGCAGGGTCCCCAGCCGCCACTGCTGCTGGTTCCAGTAAGCTGAGGGCAGCGGTCCAGTCTGGCCTAGGCGAGCGGAGAGGTTGGCAGGCAGGGTGGGCTCAAAGCTGGCTGGCGTGGGGTCTGGTGGGGTGCTCCGGGCACCTGGGTAGGCCTTCGTAAGGTGAGGCTCGGACACCCACTCGATGTAGACCTTGAGGCCCAGGAGCGTGAGCAGAGCTGACAGGCAGAGAAGACACTTGGGGCAGCGCATGACCCGGCCCAGGGAAGGGGCCACCGCTGGAGCTGCAAGGGAGCCACGGGGGCTTCTGGGCCATGGGGATGGGCCCCACGGCACCCAGCCTCTCTGTCTACCATAGTCCCTCCCAACCCCAGCACCAGCCAGCTTCTTCTGCCAGACCCTCCCTCAACAGGGCTTCCCACTCCACCCAGTCCCCCACTGGTCCCGTTCCTACACCTAGGAATACCCACTTCCAACCCCATCTCACCTCCTCTTTCGACTCTGAGAGTCCAACCCCTTACACCTGCCTAGAATCCCAGGGGTTCTACCCATTCCCAGACCCCACCCCAGGGACCCAGCCCTGCCTGCCCTCACCCCAGCCCCCATTCATTTTTCTCACCAGGAATCCCATCACTTGAATCCTAGCGCTGGGGTTGGCTCCTTCCACCTCCTTTCCCCCAGCTCTCCCCACCCCAGGGACTGGGGAACCAGGGATCTTTTTCCTTCTTTACCTCTAGGTCCAGTTCCCACCAGCTCCAGGCACCAGGATCTTGAACAGGCCCACCCTCAGGTCTTCCCTTCTGCCGGGTCCCTGTGTAGGTCAGTCTGCCAGCCCAACCCCGCCAGTCCTGAGGGGCGGGAGGCAGCGGGAGGCTGGGAGGGCCCCAGGGGCCGGGAGGGGCCGGGGCGGGGCGAAGGAGGGGGAGGGAGGGCGAGCGGGCGCCAGACTTGAGTGCTCTGGCGTGTTGGGGCTGGTTTTCTGGTGAGACTGCCTGGAAAGGTGTTGAGATGGCCAGAGACCCGGAGGACCCTTCGAAGCCTGGGAGGCGAGAAGCAGGGGCCTGGGGTGTTTTGGAGGGAGAGCCCAAGGGAGAGTGAGGCCAGGTCTAGGCCTGAGGCAGAGCTGGTTGCTGTCAGAATGACCCAGGGTGAAGCTGAGTCCCAAGCAGGCAGATGGGGAGGCTGAGGGGCTGGCGCCAGACCTTGGCAAGGAGTTGGTGTGAATGCGCTGAGTGGGAATGGATGGGCCTGGCCAGAGATAGGGATATTTGTGGCTGCTGCCCAGAGTTGGGGTTGGAGGGTGGGGCAGGGGTTGCTGAGTAGGAGAGAGGAGAGACCGTGAGACAGGGACCAGACAGCGCTGAGAGGAGAGATGGGAGGGGGAAATGGAGGAAAGGGGCCTGTGAGAAAGAGGAAAGGCAGCCAGGAAGCCCCTGTAGGAGAGAGGAGACAGGAAGAGAGGTTGAGGCAGGTGGCAGAGGGTGGAATCAGAGACTAAGCCTGACTCCAGGAGATGGAGAAGGCACACACTGAAAGGAGAGGGCTAGGTGATAGGGTGGGGGACCACAGGGAGCTCTGGGGATGAACTGACCCCTGCTTCTCGGGGGGCCCCCTCAATGCCTGGGCTGCCCGCTGGGAATCCACTCCTGCCCCACCCCATTTCCAGCCCTGGAGCTGGCGCCCTGGAGCTGGCGCCCTGGGGCCCTGGCCCCTCCCACTGCTGCTCAGTGACTCCAGGAACACTCACATCCGGCCCCCCTGGGACAGGGCAGGGTGTCAGCCTGTGTTTACCTCCTTGCTCTCCAGAGACCTCTGCTGTTGGGGCTGCATCTACTGTCTGGGGAGGTGGGTGGGTGGGGCTTCCTCATCCCAGCCCCCTTCAGTAAACCTGGGCTGCCCCTTCTCTCCATCCTGGTTTGGGGAGGGACTGGCCAGATCATCTCAGAAACCCTGCCTGATACCAACAACAATCTGCCCAACGCTGACTTCCTCCTCCCCAGTTTGAGTAATGGAGCCCGTGGCAACAGCTGGAGGAAAAAAGTGGGTTGGAAGCAGTAAATCCTAAAGGAGAAGAAAGCTGGAGTGGGAAGTGACAGCCAGGGGTGAAGACAAGTCCCGGGAGGAGTTCCCAGGTCCCCCTCAGCGCAGCCAGAGGCTGGGCCAGGAAATGGGGTGAAGCTTTTGTCAGGGGCATACAGGCTCTCTACAGGGGCAGCACCCCTCCTCCTGGGGACGGCTGGAAATTTCTCAGGGTGACTTTGCTTTGACTGCTACGTGCGTCAGTATAGGTCATTTGAACATTCTTCTTTCAGAAGAATTAGCTATGTAACAGGAAATTTGTCACCAAGAGATTGGTTGGTTGGAGGTGCTTTCTGGTAGAATATGGTGGAACTGTGGAACATAAATCTAATCCCACATTCTTACCTCCCTACGTTTGGGATTCACTCTTCCGTGCTATGCTAGGACATTGCTGATTTTTCAACCTCATTAACTACAGTCCACTGTTGAGTCTAAGTTCTAGTCAACTGGCCTAGTAAGCTGTTAGAATTACCTCCAGTTACACAAACTAACCCATTAAATTCTTGGAATTTCTACCAAGTACACACCCATCAATGGATTGGCCCAGTCTAGTGTTAGATCCCACCCTCGTTGGTCTAACACTCTTGGAATCCACTCCTGTACATGTCCCTGAGGAAATACATATATTTGCAAAGTTTTGTATTTCATTTGGTGTCTTAAAGCCATCCCTTCCCAGTCAATGTACCTGTTCTCGAGACTTGACCCGAGTTATAGATGAGTTTAGAGACAGCAGACTGGTTGTGTAAGTCTTGAGACATCTCCTTTCAAGACATCAAACAGAGAAAGGCTGATAAATCTTCACCAGGGGAGGTGGAGTGACTAGGGTGTTCAAGATGGTGTTTCCTTTGAGTCCAACCAGCTGTCCCCATTCCAGATTCCAGCATTGCATCCTTCACCAACCAGATGTCCCATTCCAGATTTGAGGATTTGTCTTTACCAACCAGCTCTCCCCACTCCAGATTCCAGGATCTTAATCTTTACCAACCAGTGCCCTAACTTTCCTAAGAAACTTATGCAGACTGTCCTTCCTTCATTCAACTGAGTTTTGTGTTGGTTTTTTTCTTTTTCGGCAACATCAGCGTCAGAGCCACAGAAGTAACCACTTCCTTAGGGTTACCTTGGACACATTCTGAGTCTCAGACTAACTTGAGCTGAGCTAAGGGGCCTGAACTTAACACTTTCTACATGTAAGTTCAGAATCTATCCCACACCCCAGTCTTTCGCGTCATCACGGCTCCCACGGTATGCGTCTCAGTTGGCACCTCATCTCAACCAATGCCAGGTGACAGCTTAATCTCCTGTGATGCTTAAGTGTGTCTAGCCTCGTATTTCCAATTGGCAGGGTGATCAGTACTGTGCTCAAGCCCAAAGGCACGACCAAAGCAAGCCCCCAGTCATATCTTTGTGAATCTGTCTCCTGGGATACTCTAAGTACCAATTCTCTTTCAGTTTGGATGCCATCAGGCAAGAAAGTGCTGGGGTCTGACCTCGACATAGTTGTGTTGTTCACGAGTGTTTGGTTCACGAGGAGG